TTCTTGAATGTAAGGTAGATCAATGTAAATCATTGGTTTAGATGTTGTGATAGATGAAGGATCATTTTGTTGAATTCCAACCTTTTCTTGAGGCACCGGTTCGGGTTCATGAACCTTTAGATGATGTTTCATGTAGGACGAGAGTATGTCTTCATCGTCTGAGGTATTTTCGTTAACGGGTTGCTGAGGATTTTGATTTGACTCGATTGATGTTTTACATCCTGATGGGTTCATCTCAGATTGTTCATCAAACTTGACATGAATGGATTCCTCAATTACCATTGTTCGTTTGTTTAGAACTCTGAATGCTTTGCTTACAGAGGAGTAACCCATGAATAACCCTTCATCAGCTCTTTCGTCAAACGCTCTTAGATGATTCTTTCCATTGTTATGTATGAAGCACCTGCAACCAAAGGCATGAAAATAACCGATACTAGGTGTTTTACCTTTCCATAACTCGTATGGTGTCTTGTTGTGAGATTTGTTGATCAAGGATCTATTTTGTGTATAGCATGCCGTGTTTATGGCTTCAGCCCAAAATCTCTTAGGTAGTCCTGAGTGAGAGATCATCGTTCGTGCAGCTTCTTTCAAGGTTCTATTTCTTCTTTCGGCTACTCCGTTTTGTTGAGGAGTTCGTGCTGCCGAAAGTTGGTGGAAAATTCCATTTTGCGCACAGAATTCCTTTATGACTTTGTTGACAAATTCCGTTCCCTGATATGATCTTATTCGAATTATTTTGAGCTCCTTTTCTGTTTGAAGTTGTTTCAAAAGATTTGGAAGAATGGTTTCTGTTTCATTCTTCTTTTTCAAGAAGAGCACCCATGTATATCTTGTGTAGTCATCTACTATAACAAGAGTATATTTTCTTCCACTCAAACTTGCTGGATCAACTGGTCCAAAGAGGTCCATATGTAGAAGGCTTAGAGGTCGAGACTTTGTATCCACATCTTTTGACTTGAAGGATGACTTGAGTTGTTTTCCTTTTTGACATGCCTCACATATTTTATCTTTCGTGTACGATGCTTCGGGTAGCCCTCTTACGAGATTCCTCTTGGCAAGCTTGTTTATCGTCTTCAAGTTCAGATGACTTAGTTTGTTGTGCCATTCTTGATTGAGATCTGCATCACTTTTGGCTACAAAACAAGCGTTAGCATTGGAAGAATTTAAAGATAATACATACATATTCTTCTTTCGTTGTCATGTTAAAGCTGTCTTGTTATCTTTCGTGTTCACGATTTTGCATTTGTCTTTGAGAAATTCTACTTTGTATCCTCTGTCACAAAATTGACTTGTGCTTAGAAGATTGAACTTCAGTCCTTCAACATAAGAGACATCTTGAATTGTTATTCCCTTGTTGATGATGTCCCCTTTTCCACGAGTTTTGCCGCTGTTTTCACCTCCAAAGATAACTTTGGGTCCATCAAATTCTTTAAAGTTGCTCAACATTGTTTTGTCACCAGTCATATGTCTTGAGCATCCACTATCAATATACCATATGACCTGTTTTTCCTGCATCAAAGATTATGCGTTTTTAGGTACCCATTTAGTTTCGGGTCCTTGGGGGTTAGCAGTCAACTTTGGAACCCACATTAACCTAGAGTATCCACGACTCATCCTCGGTCCTCTATATCCATTGAATGTGCGATAATCATAATGGATGCTGGCAAAGACTTTAGCATTATATATCTTACGTTGATCTTCCTGAGGAAGATTTTCATAATGCTTGAGATGATTGGTTTGTTTACGCAGATGAACCATTTCAAATACTGCTTTTGGAAGAGGTTCTGGATAATCAAACCAATCTTCTTCTGATGGCCCAGTCCATCCATTGCCATACCCAGATCTTTTGAAGGATCTTTCGGGTTGTCTGATTTGTCCGCTTCTTGGGATTCCTTGTGCAGGATTCTCTCGTGTGAATTTCGGACGATATTGCCTCTGGTTATCATTCGTCTTTTTGTTGGATTGAATGTTCTAGTTAGGCTGACCTTTTTTATGGCGTGGATTCTGTTTATTGCCATTTGGTCCATTCCTTTTGACATAGATTTGTCTAGGATTGCCATTACTAGATTTCTTCTTTCCAGATTCCACAATTCGTTGTTCAGCCGTACTTTTCGGTTGGCTTGCTGATTGTGGTGTTTTGACAATGTTAACTACCATCATAGGCTCAGACATCTGGGTGGGTCCTTGAACAAATGCGGCCTCGAAGCTTTCGTGTGAATATGCATTCGTGGATTTGTTCAATTCGACTTGTGAAGAGGAGCTGGGGTTGAAACCAATTCCAGTTCTTTCCCCGGGCAGTCTGGATTCATTCATCATTCTATCCATTAGGTTGGATGAATTATTGAATTTATCCAAAACTTCAAGGAGTTCTTGCTCTCTCTTCTCTTTTGTTGTGCACAGCTCCTTTAGAGCGAGAACATCTTTCTCAAGCTGCTCTTTAGCAATGACTAGCATATTGTTCTCAATACGAACTTGCTTTAGTTCATTATAGCTAAGCATAAGCCGAGAGTTCTCCTCCTTGAGTTTGGAGTAAGTGCTATTTATCACATTGAACCTCATTATCATTTCGGTGATAGATTCATTTGAGGTAAAACTTCTCACAGAACTTGACTCAGCTGAATAACAAGAGGATGAATGACAATTTACCTCGTCTTCATCTGCCATGAGACATAGTTCGTCTGACTCTTGACTGAATAGGCACAGCAGTTCTTTCTCCTCATCAGTGCTTTCGTCTTCTGAGCTAGAACTTGAGGAGCTACTTTCGGTTGCGACTGTGTCAGAAGTTTCGTTTACTAACATTGCCTTCCTTCTTCCTTCCTTTCTGGAGTTTGATGATTCAGGTTTATCGCTTCTTTTATGTCTTTCTCCAGTCTCTTTTGAGGGGCTTGTGGTAGCATTGTTATCTTGATGTTTGCTTACTATGGGATGTGGACAGTTTGCCTTGAAGTGTCCTGGCTTTCGGAAATTATAGCACAATAGCTGAGAGTCCATGGTTTCAGATTTAGATGTTTGAGGAAAGTTCTCGTGCTTCTTTCGGTGGCTCGAACGTTGTGGATCTTGAAAGTTGTTCTTTCTCATGAATCTTTTCATTTTCCTGACAAATAGTGCATATTGTTCATCAGATAAAAATTCACAAGAGTTAGATTTCGACCTGTTGGATGTTGAAGCTGATTGATTTGCCAAGAGAGCAATGTTTCTTGTTTCTGAATCTTCGGCATCTTTTGGTTCATGTTCAAACTCATATGCCTTGAGATCACTGAAAATTTTGGCAGTGCTTGTCGTTTTCATATCTCGACTGTCCCTCATTGCAATAACCTTCATTTCCCATGATTTAGGTAGACCACGAAGGATCTTCAGATTCATTTCCTTCTCAGTAAGTTCTTTTCCAAGATCTGATAGATCGCCCATCAGTGTGGTGAATCTGAGCTCCATTTCCAAGATTGATTCATTTGGCAGCATTTTGAAATCTTCGAATTTTTTCATAGCCATTGTCAGCTTGTTGTCCTTTTCTTGCTCGTCTCCTTCTCCCAGACTCATTAGGACATTCCACACTTCCATAGCATTCTTGCATTTTCGGACTCTTGGAAACAGGGAATCATCCAGAGAGTTGTAGAGAATGTTTCTTGCTACATTGTCCAGATTCGCTCTTGCTCTTTCTTCTGAGGAGTACTGGTCTTTTGGTTTTACTATCATCTGTGGAGCTCCTGCACCCTGTGCAGCTGCTTGAGCATTCGCCATCATGATTGTGATTGGTCCGGTTGTTATGACGTCCCACATCTCATCATGAATGGAGCATAGGAGAGCCTGTATTCTTAACTTCCAGTCATCAAATTTAGCAAGACTAAATGCAAGTTGTTTGGAACGATGAACATGTTCCTTTTCAAATTTTTTTTTAAAAAAAACGTGCAAAGAAAATATGCAAGATTTTCAAGAGATTTTCAAGCCACTTGTAATACATTTTACTTGCACTTCGATGTTCAATTATTTACGAAAATGCCACCGCATTTTTTTAAAAAATCAGTGTTTCTCATCCATTAGATCTGGACACGTGGACGAACAGAATCCATTCCTATTTCGCACCTGGGCGAGCCGTTCGCACCCGAGTGCAACTCTATATATATATATATATATATATATATATATATATATATATATATATATATATATATATATATATGTATATAATAATAATAATAATAATAATTTTAAAAGGCCCCCAAAGTTTGGGGGCTTTCTGTGATGGCCAGAGCTGGCTCTAATATATAACATTGTAGTACGAAGAATTTAATTTCATTTTTGAATTTAAATTCGTTTTCAGAATTAGTTTTTTGAAGAATTTGTAATTGTTTAAATATTTATACTAAAACACAAATTACCACCAAGTGGCTTGTGGTCCATTGGTATCAAATTGTTCCTTTAAATGAGAGGTAAAAGGTTCAAACCTCATTTAATGCAAGTAGTGTGTATATGTAGGGTTTTCATTTTTCTTAAAATATAAAAAAGGCGAATTGCCTTGGGTAATCAAATGCACAAATAAAAAAGAAAGGGTAAATTATACCGCCAATTATACATGGTCAATATTGCAATATATAGACCACTAATAAATATTTATTCCTAATATATTAAAGGCTCATTTTAACATACTAAATGTTTATTTTTTAGTAATATACTTAAAATAAACTTTAAAAATAAGTATTTAATATACTAAAAATGAACATTTAACATACTAAAAATAAACTTTATTGTAGTGGTCCCTTGATTAATTTCTTCTAGTGAATTAAATTGAGTGAATTTTTGTAATCTTGAAATCATATTTGATAATTTTGATAATTGTTGACCAACTCGAGAATAAATGCATAATATAATTGAATGACCATTTAGAATATTATCTCTTTTTAACGTGTGATCTGAACTATATCACTCCTTTTTGTCATAGTATACAATACACACACTAGATTGGATTTATGCAAAAGTTAAAATTTTATCACTATATATCTCAGGATGCATACAACTACTACTGGAAAAGGAGATTTCTTTGTGTGAGATGACTGACAGTTTGGGTTGGACGCCCTTACATTATGCTGTAAAGTTTGGTGATGATGAAATTGTCCGAAAGATCCTTGAGAAAAAGAGATCAGCAGCGTACATTCGTGCAGGCAAAGAAGATGATTGGACAACAATATTCCACATAGCAACCAAGCATGGAAACATTAAAATGATGAAATGCATATTATATAGCTTACCAGATTGTTGGACGATGGTTAACTGCAAATCTCAAAATGTCTTTCACGAGGTAATACTGAGTGGTAGAAGAAATATAGTAAATTATATACTGGAGTATCCCCAAATCGACAACCTTGCTGATCAGAAAGACGAAGATGGCAACACGCCGCAGCACTTAATTGCCATGTCTAGTAGTTGGACCATTTATAATTATAACTACTTCTCAGCCAGGCTTAAGCGGAAGCATTTGGTCTTCAATAAACAGCATCAAACCCCACTTGATGTGCGCCACGTGGCCTCCCAAAGCAAAGTCTATTCAGCTTTGAAGCATGTCTCTGTAAGTACACAAACCCTGCTTCTATTTTATTTTACTAGAGTTTTGGAGTTTTGTTAATATTAATAAATTCATTTGATATATATATATATATATATATATATATATATATATATATATATATATATATATATATTTATATATTTAAACATTTGATATATTATTTAATCAACTTTGAAAGAATAAACTAACATTAATAAATTATTGAGTTAAAAATAAGAAATTCATTACTCTAACTACGTGGGAGAGTAAATTTTCTCTCTACTTAAAAGAGAAAATATTTGATACATTGCCTTTGTATACCGACGTTGTATAGGGTGCTATATGACGGCAGTGAATCATAACGCGCCACCTCATTAAATTGTAAACTCTACTTTTACTAAACCCATTTATGCAAATTATAATAATCTTAATCTTAATATATGATAATTATAATTATTTTCTTTTATTAAAAATAATTACCATAATCAATTAAAACTAAATAATAGTAATTAGATTTACTTTCCCCTTAATCATACTGCCTAATAAGGACTTAAGCTCATTCACTATTTTTAATTTAAAAGGCATTAATCAATTTTTTTCTCAAATAACATTAGTTTCATGCTTTTCTATGGAGTATGAGGATTTTCCATATTCGTAGTATCTGTTCATATACTTTCTCAACCTACTGAAATACAAAGAGCTAATAACGCTTCCACTGAGGCTCGAACTCACAACCTTCCAAATGGAAGTCCAACTCGGGTACCATTGGACCACATATGGGCAAAAGTATGCATCAAATTTCAAAAAGAAAGATTACACACGTATTGAAATGTGAAGATGACATTAACCACAATTGATTTTACAAAAAGTGAACTTTCCCTACATTTGTCACCTACTAAATTGGATCCAAAAACCACCGGTACAAAAACCTTATTATAATCACTACTGAAAATTCTGAAATTTCCGACCACCTGAAAGTGATCTTAAATCAAGTTGAAAGTCTTATTCCGACCACTTTTGGTATCCAGAAAAACCCTTGTTGCTATTTCCGACCACTTTTTGCTTTCAACTTGATTTAAGATCACTTTCAGGTGGTCGGAAATTCAATAATTTCCAGTAGTGAATCATACTATATTATAATTAATATTCTTTACTTCTCATAATTAATATTATTTAGTTTTAATTGATTATGAAATTATTTTTAATAAAAGAAAATAATTATAATTATACTATATTAAGATTATTATATTTTGCATAAAAGAGTCAGTAAAAATTGACTTTACAATTTAATAAGGCGGTGCATTCTGATTCATTAAGAAAATATGATATAGCTAGTTATTTGCATTAGCATAATAGGAGTATGGAGCTTCAATTCTTTTTAATAAAGAAATCTTGGGTTTCCTTAAAGTAAAATTATCAATGTGCATACTCATAAATCTTATTATTTATTAAAATATCTACATAAAATTCAAATAAAAACTTTATATATACCTTTTTTTTTTTTTAAAGTCAACAACGCCTCCACTGAGACTCAATCTCATGACCTACCATATGAGAGAGGTCACTACATGCTATCTGAGCACAATGTGCTTAGCACTTTATATATAACTTAGAATTTAATTAAAACTTGTTACTACTGAAATGTGGTGTAAAAATTTATATATTTTGAGATAAATATATAGATTTAATTCCACCAGAGGTCCATTGTCTTTAGTGGCAATTTCAAATTTAGTCACAGACTATCCTTTTTGCAATTTAACATGCTAGACTATTATTTTTTTTGGACACTTTTAGTCCTTTTCATGAATTTATCTACTTCTAGTAATGGTATTTTTGTCACTTCATGTTTTTCTTTTGTTATTTTTCCAGTTTTAACCGGTTTAATTTAATTGGGACTTTACTAAAAACCGGTTTAAAAATATGGTTACTAAAAATCAGAGATTGCCTAAAGTCCTAAACTAATTAAACCGATTGAAACTAGAAAAATAACAAAAGAAAAATATGAAAAGACAAAAACGTCTTACTAAAAATAGGAAAAGTCATGAGGAAGGACTAAAAGTGTCCAAAACATAATAGTCTTGAACGTTAAATGACAATAATAATAGTGAGACTAAATTTAGAATGGTCATCGAAGACAAAGGAACTCTGATGGAATTAACTCTAAATATATATAAATTGAATAGTACACTATTATTACTAATGACAAAGCAAATACTCCGTAATATATCTACTATATTAATAAGAGCCTAAGAGAGTTAGACCTATAATGGGTATAAAAAATGGTGGTTAAATTTTTTAATCAAATGAATGGTTCAGATTGATCAGATTTTAATTTTTCTTTAAGATTTCCTAATATATCCTTAATGAATATAATTATCCGTTAACTTTTTCATCAAATATTATTTTTTCCGTTAATTTCTGTTAGTTCACCGTTAACTTACTCATTGATTTCAATAAGAAAGGTCTTAGGTTCGAACCCCATCCCAATGAAAATTGACATAATTAGTACTCTATTTTACTCTTATTAAATTAATTAAAACAATAATTTAGTAGCTACAACAAAAAATAATAAATACGCATTTCTTTAATTTAAATTTATGTGTCTACAATGTCTTTATTTAAAAAAAATTATTTATTATCAATAAATTAAATAAGAGAAATAATTTCATTAGTTATTATATGTATTTATTTTTCTCCAATATAAAAATTCTTTTTACATTCAAATTCATCAATTGATTATATTCGCTACATTGTCCCTACAATGTCTTTATTAAAAACAATTATTCTTTATCAATAAATTAATTAAGAGAAATAATTTTATTAGTTATATTGTCTTTATATTTCTCCAATGTAAAAATTATTTACATTAAAATTCAACAATTGATTATATTCACTACATTGTCTATTATCTTTTTTTTTGTGCACTATTTTTTAATTAAATATCAAAGTTATAATACAAAATAATGCTATATATTTATTTACCAAGTATTTTATTAATACTATGAAAAAATTAAAAAAATACAATTAATAAAACCAATCATATTAACTACTTAAGTGATTTGTTGACAGAAAGAATATTCAAATCACACAACAAATTGAAGTGAGAACTACCTCGCAATGTCCTTGTTTGACAATCAGAAGTTAGCGGTTAGCGTGGATTATATTAGCGAATTTGACCAGCGAATTGTATCAACGGTTGGTAAAAAGAAATTTGAAAAAATTAGATGTTTAGGTTAACATGTAAAATGAAAAATTGCATATATATATATATATATATATATATATATATATATATATAATTGTTTTAAAAAAATATAATTAAGCGAATCATATTAATTACTTAGGAGATTTATTGACAAAAAGAATATTCAAATCACACAACAAATTGAAGTGGGAAACTATCTCGCAATGTCCTTGTTTGGTAATCAGCAGTTAGCTCTTCAATATTAGTATATATTTAATATTTTATGCCCTAATTTTTATTTGCTCTCTCTTATGTTCCGTATTTGGTTTCAACCATACCTATACAATTATTTTATTGACAATTATAAGCAATCTTGACTATATTATCTTGCATTTGCAAACTTAGAATTATCTATTTAAATACGCAAATTTAACATTCAATTATCTATGAATGAACAATTTCAATATAATTTTGCCTTGATATATTTTAAAGTATTTATTCAAAAAAAAAAAAAAAAAACATCGGGCATTATCCCAATCGCGCAATGCGCGTAAAAAACTAGTACAATATATATATGTTAAAGTTAATTCAATATTATATTATATTTACGTGTTTAATTGGATATAGATAATTTAGACTTATTTGGTAAACAATATTTAATCAAAAGTTTGTGGATTTGAGCACTTTAACTGTTAATTTACCGCCGACGCCGGCTAAATTAAACCATCATCGATCAGGTTGCTTGTAGTTTTTCATATATAATTTTGGTGTTTTTACGTACTACAATTAAAATGCAGGGCGGAATACCTCAGCGGAGTGGTAAGAGAAGTGGACCTCGTGCTGACCTCTTACAAAATCAGGAAGATACTGATAAGAATATAGACAAGGAAAATAATCGTTATCTACGAATAAGTAAAACAATGACCATTGTGGCTACATTGATATTAACCATAAGCTTTGGAGCTGGTATTACAATCCCTGGAGGCTATATCGAAAACAAAGGGTACCCAATACTGTTAGGAAATACAGCTTTTGGCAATTTTGTTAGGGCAGATACTGTTGCTTTCGTAACTTCTGTTTTGGCGATATTCATTTACATGATCATGGTGGTATTAACCTTGTGGGCTTCTATTAGGGACGACTCAATTGTCAGGACGCTTTGCGGATTCAACATCGCCATGACTTTTGTTGCCATAATAGCAGTCGTAGCTGCATTCCTCGGTGCGTTGTACGCCATTTTACCACATTTTAATTCTCTAATCGTTTGGATCGCATTCTTCAGCGGCCATCTTTTCGCTTTTCTTGTTGCTATGTATCTCGTTATGAAAAAAGATGAAGTCTTCCCCTCTTCACCTTTATTTCTAATATTTGACATCCTCTGTCTCATTTTAGTAGATTATTTCTTAAGCTCATCTGTAACTAAAATGCACATTAGTTACCATTATTAGATGTTGTCATGTCATGAGATGGATTGAAAGAAAAAAAAAAATATTAATGGTTTCTACCATTACACTTTCTGCATTTTGAATTCTCAATTCTTTTTAAATAAATAAATTACATCACTTTCTTCGTCTTTTTAATATTAATATTAATATTAATTAATATATTTGCAGCCCAATGTACTTTTATATATATATATATATATATATATATATATATATATATATATATATATATATATATATATATATATATATATATAATCGCACTCAGATGTGAATGCTTCGTCCAGGAGCGAAATAGAAATGAATTCTGTCCGTCCACGTGTCCAGATCTAATGGATGAGAAACACTGATTTTTTTTAAAAATCGCGGTGACATTTTCGTAAATAATTGAACATCGAAGTGCAACTAAAAGGTATTACAAGTGAATGTAAAATGTATTATAGGTGCAAGTAAAAATTTACACTGAGCATCAATACTAAGTGCACCTATAATTATAAGTAGTTGCACCTATAGTTCTAAGTAGTTGCACACATAGTTATAAGTAGTTGCACCTAGGTGCATGAATGTTTGTGGGTGGTTTTCAGGGGTATTACTACCCGCTGAACTCAGATCAATGAATGTTAACAAGGCAAAATTACATGCACTTATAGGTGAAAGTAGGTGCACCTATAGTTATAAGTAGTTGCACCTATAGTTATAAATAGTTGCACCTAGAGTTATAAGCACACCCAGGTGCATGAATGTTTGCAGGAAGTGAATGCTAACAAGGCAAAATTACATGCACTTATATGTGAAAGTAGGTGCACTTGTAAGTGATTTTACTTGCACTTCGATGATCAATTATTTACAAAAATGCCACCGCATTTTTTTAAGCTATTAGATCTAGACACGTGTCGCGTACTGATTCGTTCGCATATTTCTTCATGAACACTTATTCGCACCTGACTGCATCCGTATATATATATATAGTGTATGTACTTAATGTGCGTGAGTTTTGTATTTAATGTGCGCGAGTCTTGAGCTTAAGGTGTTGGTCCCGGTAGGGTCAAAAGAGAGTCTAGAGGGAGGGGGTGGGGGTGAATAGACTCTACTCGAAATTTAAAAATCAATTCCTTTCGGAAGATATATGCAGCGGAAAAAATGAGTTCGTTTTAAATTATACTTTGCACAGTTTGATTTATGAGAAACTTAGGGTTTGGTCAATATGCATGCAATGCCGGATAGATAGTTATACGAAAGTAAAGAGAGATAGTGAGCGAGGTTTTTATAGTGGTTCGACTATTAACAAAGCCTATTCCACTCTTCTTTCACAACTTGTGAAAGGGTTTGCACTATCACTCCTAGTACAAACTACTTCACGCTAGCTTCCTTGATCACTAAGCCGGACAGCTACTTGGAAGGTTTTTCAACTCCTTGAGTTTACTCCGCCTCTATCAACTGCTTCTTCATAGTTGAGTGTTGGATGGAAATGAGGTATTTCTCCAACAGCTTGAACTCTTGACTTGATGAATGGATGAATCTTCACATGATAAACAACAAGACTTCTTCAAGGTTGTGAAGTATGAATTATAGATGAGCTTCTTTGAAAACTTCACAATCTCACACTGGTTTGAAAAGCATTTAGATGAACTTGTTTGAAGAGCTTTTTCTAAGATAAAATCAGTTGAACAACCAGCCCATTCTTCAGTTGAGAAGAGAGGTATTTATAGGGAAAGAAAATCCACCCGTTGGAGGGAGATAGAAATTCAAACCTATTAACCAATGTGTATTACCCGCTGGGCATGAAGCATTTAATTAAGCTGTACTGTATAGCCGTTGAAGGCAAAAGTTGCTTGTCCTTTTGTCATTTTTCATTGACAAGAGTACAAATCATTTAATGCTTCTTGACTTTTGTGACTATCATTCCTAGGACTCCTTTTGTCTAGGATGATTGCCCAACATTGAGACCTAGACAACATTCATCTTGTCTCATTTATAAGGATTGTCTTTATAAGTCTGACTTAGACTTATGGTCTCGGGAAAGTCACACGAAAGATTGTCCTCATCTTTCGTTTTCCCTTTCAGTCAAATGATCTTCCTTATCATTTGATGGTTATACGAGAGTTAGACCCTTCCATCTTTCGGTCTAAATTGTTCTCTCGTTCTTCTCTTGATCTTTTCTTCTTCAGGTAGACCTAAATTGCTAAACACAACTCAGATTCGTGTATACGTGCTACTTAACCGAATCACATGGTGAGTTGAGACTGCTTTCGTCTAACACGAAATTTGCAGTGAAACGAAAGTAAAAAGAGGGGTTTACATTCCTAGTTTGGTATCATCAAAATCTAAATACATATGTTCCTAACAATTCCCCCCCCCCCCCCTTTTATGATGCCAAAACCTATACTCTTGCTATAAGGCTGAAAATTTATCCATTAAAGGATTTTCATTATAAAGCAGCCAAATAGTTGAGTTTACATGAGAAGTCTAAGAAAGTAAACATAATATAAATAATTCAACATAGATCGCAAAAAGAGAGAATTCATTCAAGTTTTAAAGCATTACAAAATGATATTAAGATAGATAGATATTACATGTTCAAGATCTTGTTTCTCTGTGCAGCTTCTTTCATTCGAGCTTCCTTTTCTTCAATCTCTCACCTTTTTGTCAAGGTCTGATAATCAAGTTCATCATTGAACAGCTTTCTGAAGGCTCTAATATCCTTGTCTCGTGCTTTTTCTGCATATTGATCAGTGAATTTGTAGTTGATGTAGTTGTTATAAGCTTCAACTACATTCCTTCCTGGAACTATTCCATTATTCCACCAGATAACAAGTTCAATGGAGTTCATCCCCTCAAAGTACTAAGATCTTTGATCTTTTCTTGAATTTCCTGAAACAAGTTCAGTGGAAAGGGGTAAAGATGAACTTTCGTCCTCCTCTACTGCAACAAGTTCTTGTGTTAGAGTCCTTTCGACCTGCTCAGCTTTAGTAGGTTCTTGTGGGAGGATCCTCTCAGCTTTCTTTGCCTTAGCAGGTTCTTGTGGAAGAGAAATATTGTTCTTTTCTGCTATGGCAAGTTCTTGTGTAAGAACCGAAGGTGGAGTGGATTCGGGTAGATTTCCAGTATTTCCTTCACCCTGAGAAGCATGCTCGGGTGAATTCGTCCACTCCCCTGAGCTTGACTCTTCAGGTGCATCATGGTTGGGAACGATTTTAGGTTGTTCAGATTGAATCTGTTTCCAAGCTTCCCTGTATCTTTCTTCGGCTTGTGCAGCTAGACTTGCATCTGATGAGTCTTCAATGTGGGTTGATTATGAGGATGAGCTGCTACTTTCGTGGTTTTCGGAGGAGGGCCGGATTTCTGACTTTTTTTTTCAGACAAGACCTTGTCCTTTACAGATTCTTTCGTCTGTTTTGTGGATGGTACGCCTGCTGGTGGATTCGGAGTAGATTCAGCTTGGTTAACCTTTTGCAGTTTCCTTTTCTTTGAAGCGGGAGAGGTTGGTTGAGGAACATCGGTTTGAGTAGGAGCTGGATTGGGATCAATGACATGAGTAGGCTAAGCTCGTTCTACTCGTTTCAACCTCTTTGGTTGCTTAGTCTCGGAGCCCTTCTTTCGTTTTGGCTTCCTTTCGGGTTGATCTACTAGAGCTGGTTCTATTGCTCCCATTTCCAGAGCTCTTTGCTTGTCATATCCAAGGGGTTTGGACTTAATGTGATATATTTTTTAGCCTGGAGGAGATTTAACTCGAAGAGTAACCTTTTTAAACTCTAGTAGATGACCAATCATAAAACTGAAACCAACCTTTCGCTTGATGTCCCCCGTAGGCAACTTCCCGAAAGTGATATTCAATTTCAGAAAGTTGAAGACAACTTTCGACCAGTCCACTTTGAAACTATTGAGAAAGGCATGGAGCATTTTCAACTTATCTTTTGAGACATCATAAGCTCCTGATGTCTTGTGTTCAACAATTTTGTTGAGGATATCCACTGTGAACTCATAATCAAGCTTGAAAGATTTCTTCTTGAGAGGCCATTGAATATCTTCCTCAGATTGTTGGCTCCGAATGCTTTCATAGAAGGCTTTTTGATCAAATACATGTTGAGAGAAATCAGAGTGGTAGGAATCATCCCTCGCTGGAAAAGTGAAAGCTTGTTGAATGTCGACACTTGTTAATGAGATTTCCTTTTCATTGACCATGGATGTAATGGTAGTTGTGTCTGGGGAGATCTTTGCATTGAGATAAAACTCTGTTACATCGTAGGAGAAACAAGCTTTGTAGACATGAGTAACAAAGTTGTAAAGACCGCTCTCTCGAAGTAGATTTACCATCTTTTCGCCGTAATTTTTGTCAAGGACGTGTTGCCGGAATCCATGGACGTCCCACATATATCCTCCGATGATGTAGTGCTCCATGGACTTGATGAACTTCTCATCAGAGATGGGGTATGGTAGCTTAGCTTCTTCTTCATTTGTTACCGGAACTTGTTTGGATGCCTTTGATCTCGTATTCTTTGCCATTTGAGAATGAAGAGATTTTTCTGGATGAAGAAGATATAAACTGTTCTTCGAGAGTGAATGTGACCGTAAAATGTTGAAGAGGATGAAGTGTGGTTTTTATATCAAGTGGCTTAGAGAGGAAGAAAGTGAATAGTGGGCGTAGGGTTTTGGGTTTAAATGAGTAAAGGTATCGTGTTGGGCCTTGAATATGGATCACCCATATTTGGTATTGAAGAGAATGGGACAAAAACCATTAATATCCTCAGAATAATTGATCATTTTGGGTTTTTTAAGGTAAAAACTCAGTATATTTTATATTGATAAGGCAAATATCAGATAAAAAATGATCACTTCTTATTTAATGATGAGAGAGATACCACTCAAGTACGGGACAAGGGCATTTAATGCCTGTCCATTCAACTGGCATGCCATGCATGTACATGGGATAGTGGGCCGAATTTTTCGCCCACACGATCTTCTCCATAATTATCATCCGACGGTTGGGGTGAGATATCCGAAAC